CGACAAGATTATAGTTTTAGCTTGCTAAGAAATAATTTGCTAGAGAAATCGTATAAATAATTAAAGCTAGGCTATATACTTTATATTTCAATAAAAAATAACATACCTTTTGCAGAAATATATTCATTTATAACATGTTAGCTAACCGTAATTCGCTTTCCGCGATTTCGATAGGATCAAAATCCATATTACCACTTCCTTGTGCTACAATATGAGACATTTCTAAACCACCCGACCCACCGAAATTTGTGTTTGACAGATCAACCATTGATCCAATCTCTAGTTTCTCATTATTTGATGAGTCGGAAGGTACCAAAATATCATCTTGCTCTAACATCATATTATTGTTTTCGATAGCGGCATAGGTAGTTAGTTCTAATGCACTATCACGTAATTCACGTTCTGATAACTCTTTTCCATAAAACTGAAGTTCATTTTTGAGGTTAGAAATATAAAATGAGTGAATTTTAGCCATACTTGCAAGCCGTTCAGGTGATAATCGTAACCTATGTGTGCCATATAACCATTTTAGAATAGAAAAATTATATTCGCAGCTTGCTTGCGAAGGTACAATAGCGAAAACAGTTTTAGCGAGGTCTTGAAGATACTTATATTCATCCTCAATTACGCCCCACTACAAACTAGGTGATTTTGAAGAATCGTAACCAAAGTCAAACGGATATTCGTTGTTTTTATAATGAATCAATTGAGTGGTCATCTTTCTACATGCATCTTCATCGTTGTAAATACTTTTATAGAATTTAACAGCTATCTTACAGATTTCTCGAAACACCCCTTTGTGTAAACCAAGACCTATAAAAAAAATAATAAATATAATTTTAGAAAAAATTTCGAAAAAAAATTTTAAAGTTTTTTGATTTACATAATTGGTACCCTTATGTCAAGAAAATCTCGAGCTAAAGATCACTGAAGATCACTTCTGACCCTAACCAGATCCAATAAAATTGCAGGATCTTGTGTAATAAACCAAACGTGAAAAACATAAGAAATTGTAAAAAAAACGTAAATAACACAAAAATTTACTATGACAACTAACCTCCGACCTCTAAGTAAAAGTTTTCAGTATGAAATTTTACTTATATGACACAACTTTTAATGTTTTATATATAGAGAATTTTTGAGATACTACAGGTCTATATTTTTTGATTAGAAGCTCGGGATTTTCTTGACATAAGGATACTCTAAATAA